GAAATCACGTGAACTCACCGTGACGCACTCGAGAGCGTTGTAGACGCAAGAACACTGGGCGTCATCTGGTGTTGGAGGTAGAGAGGCGCCGGACGACAAGAAGGCTGAGCTGACGGGAGGACAAGCCACGACAGCATTGGGTGTAGGGTTGTAGCTGTTCATCTGAACTTTCTTCGGATTGATACTCTTCAGCTGAGTCTGCAAGTTGTTGTAGTCCGTCAACTTTGTCGCCGTGGTTCCATCAATCTTCACGAGGCCGAAACCATTGGCCTATGAATGCATCAGAAGAGGTTTCATCATTCCACCTCACCTCTTGCGAATATTCGTAGACGAAGCCACCGGACAGCACGTCTGTCATCTGATCACCATATATGGCTTGGACTTCAGTGAAGACTCTCGGAGAGGGCTGGTTGCAACCGTATTCGGTGAATATGACTGGAGCATCGTAATTCTTCCATTGCGCCACGAAGGCGGAGTAGCCGCTCTGATCGAAATTGCTGTTACCACACCACCTGTCACGCGGTCAACTCGATCATCAACGCATGCGATGCAATGCGTCTACGCACCTGTAGGTGTTGAGGCCGTAGAAGTCGACGGATGATTCGACGTCTTTGCAGTCGAGATAGTTCATGATGTTGGGGTTCGCATCGATGTCGGTGGCGGCGTAACCAACTGGGATGGCCCTGCCGGTCGATTTGATGTAAGTCTTGCAGTCTCTCACGGAAGCTTTTACGAAGGCAGCAGCGACCGTGTCCGAGTAGCCGTTCATGACTTCGTTTCCAGCGAGAAAACCGAGGGTGTTGGCATGAGATCGGAAGAGGTCGATCTTCTGTCGGTAAGCTGCAAAGAGGTCCGTGTTCCACTGAGGATTCTGGGGGTTGATGGAAGCCCAAGATGAAGAGAGATCGAAGATGACGTAGATGCCATTCTGCTCTAAGAGTTGCATGCCTTGTGATTGATCGGACTGGACGTTGAGAGTGTAAATTCGGATGGCGTTGACACCCAAGTCCTTCAAGAGGGGAATGTCTCTGTGAGAGATGAGATCGAGAGATGTCAGGATGATGCATCTCCACCTCTGGAGGCCTGCAATGTCGGCGATAGGGTCTGAGGAGGGTTGATAATCTACTCCGACGACCTGTAGAGGTTCAGCGAGGTGTCATACGAAGCATCACTTACGTAAAACTGATCGCCGGTGACGCTATCAAAGAACTTGGTTCCTTTCACCTGAGAGAAGATGAGTCTTCCATCGAACGCATCTCATCTCACGGTGATGGGGTTGACGGCCAATGCCAAGCAGAGGAAACCCATCAGAAGGGTCAGTGCGTGTCTCATGGTAACGTTCGTGTTCGTGTTGTATTGTTGTCTTTCGTGAGATGAGAGAATGAGGAAGAGGAGAGTAGAATCGGGCCGTAGGAGCCAGCACGGCAAACCTCATGAACAGGGGAATACCAGGGAAGCCTCCGGTGTGGTTATTTTCGCCCACATTTCTGTTTACGTATCGGAAATCGCCGAACACGAGCAGAGCATGCATGAGAACAACGACCGAACGATGGGACAGAACATGACCCCTGCACCGGATATCTATGTGAAATTGATTGTCTTACAGGGTCTTGTGTTGATGTTGGTTCCGCGCACGTAAGAGGAACCTCTCTGTGAGATAAATTTCCGAATGTGATGCTTCATCGTGCAGCCGTGTGCACATGATGATGTGTTACTGGCAATGTGCGTCGTCAGATGATTGGGTGTTTGGTGATGAACCGTTATGAGACAAGATTCACACGATGTTTTCTACAAGTGTGTCACGTCGAACTGCCTCATAGCTTCGTGCGCCAGATGACGAGATCGTTGGGCGAGATGCCTTCCTTCATCTCTTCTGTCATCATCCAGTCACTTCCGTTTCGATCGGTGGTGTCAAGTTTAAACTCCTGGAACATCATCGTTGCTGATTGCTTGAGTGCGTAACCCATTTGTATTTGATCTCGTAACAGTTACACATTCAGAGTGACGGTCAGTTCGTCTCGGTGAATTACGCCTCTTACAACTGTCTTCTACAGTGATGCAATTACAAAAAAAGTGAGAATAATCCGTCGGGTCTAGTATGAGCTGTTAGACCATCGTCACGAACAAAGTCGATCTATGGATCACCGACGGATACAACAAAATCCACCACAGAATGATGAAGATTACACCGATTTGAGCCCCCTCATATACACTCAGATCGTCTCTTTTCTCGCCGCCTGCTTCATGCTGGTGAATTGCCTTCGAAAGGGCAAAGGAAAGGGTATCTCTCTGGTGAAGATTGATACATCATATCGGTAGATGACTCTACCAGATGGTCGGTCTTCTTGCTTTCGTCCACGTATTGTGGATCCCTATCTCTTCGACCACTCTATTCTTTCTCGGGACGACAAAATGTTACAGCTGCGGCCTCAGTCGTGAGAGATGCCACGAGAAGAAATGTTTCTGGATGAACGTCGTGGCTCTATGTCTTTGGATGGCTCGCATGGTTTGGGTGATTGGAATGTCCCTGGTCTCCCTTAACGGATTACGAATCGCCCTATCATAGTACGTTCGATCTCTTCGATTCTCTTCATCGCTGACATATTAAGTTTATCCACGCCGGACATGGAATCGAACGAGTTGAGAACGTCCATACGAATGAGCAGGACAATGTGGATGAGCATCATTTGGTCGGTGATCTTCATACCACCCTGCTTGGTGGCTATAGCGGCTTTGATGGAGGAGGAACAATTGTACATTCTGTTATGGGAGATGATCGCTATAATCTGTCTCGATCGTGAGCGATCGATCATGATGTGTGGCTGACAAATGAAACAGTATTCATGCTGGCTGCAAACATCATCTTCACGAGGAAGCTGTCCGAAGTACAGAAGAGACGACATAGATCCTATCAGATTATCGCAACCAAGGTGGGTCATTGTCTGCGTCACGATCACCTCCCCTCTCTCCACCACCCACCATCACACCATTCATCATCACATTGTCCATCATCAATTCACTACTCATCATCACATCATCCATCATCGCATCATCCGATCACCATCATCTGCACACGTCGCCACACTCACCCCATCATCAGCTTCCGAGGTTGAGAGCTTTCGCCTTCCTCGTCAGCACCGTCATCGCATGGACTCCAGCATTTGTTCTCCCCTTCCATTCAAACCATTCAACCCAACAGATCTTCTTTCACACCATATCATACATTGCCATGCTCGATTGCATCGTGTACGTCGTTGTGACCCCCTCGGTGAGTCCGCGGAGATTCCGCGGAGATTGCGAAACATCCGGCTGACGCCTCGCAAGGTCCGCGAGCATTACAGTCAAATGGGGCTGGGGAGGGTCGTGGTGGATCTATTTTTGTCACCTCTGCTGTTGCCGTTTGAGGCAGGGAGGTGGATCTCAGCCGTGAAGAGAAGAAGGGGGAGGGAAAACAAGTCCTTTGTGTCACCTCTGTTGGAAGAGAAGGTCATACGCGATGACTCACTCCAGTGAAGATCATTGGAGATGTATAAATTTTGTCTGAGTGAAGTGTGTCTCTATCCAAACTGAGATGAAAAAGAAGAGTAATCAGTGAAGAGAAATAGAACATTCATGCAGCGTCCCCAGAGTGCACCCACTGTCGCTTGGTGGTTCACTGCAATTTCTGTCGTTGCTGTCTCCTCGTTAGACCGCCAAGGGCCGCAAAATGACCCCCAGATATTTCGGATCCGCGTAATAGTCCCCTGTGAAACTGTCATATAATTGGAAGAAAACATCTCCCGCAAGCCAAACCCCATTTTGCGATCCAGCCGATTTGGCGGTGTATCGCTCCCAATCTCCAAATGTACTGTAAATTTCAATTTTGAATTTTGTTGTTTCAGTGTTTATTCCCACTGTTTGATCTGAACCGCCTGAAATGAGAGACTCTTCATCAAACCATGCAATTGATTCTGCGTAATCTCTTGAGGTTTCTTCTTTACCCACATGCCAAGGACCTGCAGAGACAGTCCCAACGTGGTAACCTTAACGTGTCTTGCAATCAGAACATGTTAACCTTAACATGCAAGACAGTCTCGTGCAGGTCCTTACCACATGCTCGTGATCTGATGATATCATCATGATTGTCATTGTGAGACTTCTTTGTTCATGTTTATCTCAATCCCACAATATGAGGTTCTTGCTTTATGCTCTGTTGTCAGCTGTTGTTGATTGTGCAGTGAGAAGAATGACAATCTGATCAAACGCCAACCTGACGAAAAAGAGAGAACACGGAGCAAACGAGAGATGCGTATTTTCTGTTTATTTTCCGACTACGTCAAAGTGATGAGACGAGATTCTCACGACTGATAGCATTTATAGTTAGACACCTTCGGTAGGATAATGGTCATCATATCGAAGCAGAGATCGGAGAAATTCAATAAAATATTTCGCAAATGAGAGACAGTGATCTCTTTTTTGTCAGGTTGGCGTTAATCACACAACTTGGTTGTGTGTGTTGTACATAGCCTACTTTGTATCAGCCACATCAAACATGGTCAATACAATGCAATTAAGGACCTGTGCGAGACCGTCTCGCACGTTAAGGTTAACGTGTCCTGATGGCAAGACACATTAGGTTACCGCGTTGAGACCATCTCTGCAGGTCATTAAATGCAATAGCACATATGATGCTCAAATTACACAAATGTTCACTTATGTGTGCTGATACTGAAGTTGATGAGAAGCACCAGCAGGTACACATCTTGTGTTCAATCCCACACAAAGAGGACTGTACCCACACTGGGCTGGCTGAACACTGATGGATGAGTATCCATGATTTTGCTAGTGATGGTGTTGAGGTCATCATCTGTTGCATCACGTTAATACTCTCTGAGAATGGATGGTTCGTCTTCATCAAATTTTCGATTCTAAATCTCCACTTCATCGATCCTTTCTCGTTGCACTATTTTCCTCCTAAGTCGTCGATACATACATAAGTATTGACGACAGGCAGACATCAGGACAGCATGGCCGAGTGGTTAAGGCGTCAGACTTGAAATCTGATTCCCTAGGGATCGTGAGTTCAAACCTCACTGCTGTCGTCTTTTTGCTGCTCATAAGAGCGTTTCGATGAGATTTTGTACCATCATCTTATGCTTTTTAACGTCGGCTTTCTTGTTATGATTTTTTTAGAATTGATCCCGCAAGCGTTTCATACGATAATCCATATTTCGATTATTCGGAAGAATGTTTTCATTGTAGATGATATCTTTTCTCCTTCCCGATCCGGAGGGATCGTGAGTTCAAACCTCACTGCTGTCGTCTTTTTATTCTCATTTTTCGAGGGGATAACCGTTGAGAATAGCTCATACAAACCTCTTCAGACGATCTTCTGTCGAGATCAGATCCCTTATCTGCCCTTGTGAGCGAAGATTTTCATCTTCAACTGGTCGTGAAATCGAACCACAGGGTGCGTGAGTTCGAACCTCACTGCTGTTCGTCGTTATCCGACACTTTTTCCTTCTATTCTTTCAAACAGTTTCATCACCCAATGATCCTTTTCTATCTCATCTCCACACGAATATTGCTAATACGTCATCTTCTCTAGGACAGAGAAGCGAGAGACACACAGACACGTGTTGCTATTCATCTCTATATCGAGTTCATCTAATCGATCTCACGTTCTAATTCACGATAACGACAGAAAGGACTACAACTCGTACATTAATTCGGACACGGGTCAGATTCGCTGATGAAATCGGTCAAGTCCTTCCAGATGCTGGAGACTGTTCCACAGATCTATCCTTCACGTCAGATCTGATCGATAGAGATCTGTGATTGACTCACCGCTCCACCTCCTCTCTTGGCCTGTGAGAATTGACGGTTGATGTCTCCGATGCAGAAGACGTCTTGAACGTCAGTCGTGACCGCCTGCGAGATGATGGATCAGCGGATGATTCGACACACGATGATGATGTGGTGATGCGATCGCGATCGTCATCGAGGAGATGAAAGAACGGTTCGCATCGATGATCGACTGATGATGATCGTGATGTGATGTCATGATGATGAAGACAAGAGAAGAGAATACGACGCTCACCCATTTACTGTGATCCTTCGTCTCTGTCCACTGGACACCATCCATCGGTGCCACCGTCCTGACGTTCATCGTGTTGTACTTGGAATCGGGAGTACAGACCGTCGGCATCTGTCCCACGGTGTCAATTCCTCCCACGGATTCTCCATCACCTTGTTCTTCAGACCACCGTTCATCCAGCTCTCCACGAGCATACCCGATTGGTACTGTGGCTCCACGACATCGTCCCACAGCTCCACGTCTGCCTCCTCGTTCTTTGCGAAGACGTCGAATTTCTCTCCAGCCAGGGTGCTGATGGTGATGAAGTTGGTCGTTCCGTCCTGTAGAGGAGTTGAGAGGGGAAAGATGAGAGATTTGATGATGGAAGATGCGATATGATGCATGTTGGTTTGGAATGACATGGACATGCAGATAGGAGATCATCACCTTGATCCATTGAGAGCTTACGACTTGAGCTAAGTTCTGGGTGGTGATGGAATCTGGCAGGTTGGAATCGTAGAGGTGGGGTTTATCGATGAGAAGCTGTCCCCCGACGAGATCCAGATTCGGTGTGGCTACACAAGTCAAGGAGAACAGAAAAATCTGATCCATTTATGTGATGGAAGAGATCATCTTCTCAATCGTCATAGACGATCGATGATAAAGTGTGGATACAGAGAGAGAGGCATAAGAAAGATTGTCCATAGACGGCTTGTCCATCTGGATAGTTGTATGAGTCTGAAGATGCGGGAGGCCAGCGAGGGACACTGTGGGAGAGGAGGAATCCGACTTTGCTGTCGAATCCCATGACACCCTTCATGTGTGCGAAGCTCTCGTGTTGAGATCCATCGGGGGATTCATCTTTTAGACAATCACACGCGTGGTGTATGGAAGATGTCACCGACCATTATACATGAGGTAGCCGATGGAGTCGCTGCCGCTGTTGTTATAGACTTGATTCAGGGTATTGGGGATAGCTCCATCAGAATCTAAACGAAGAGAAGAGTACTGCCCAGAATATCAGCTTTTGATGTGAAATATACGTTGTCACCTTGAAACTTGGGCTCTTTGCATCGGCATAGGTATATGCAAATCCTGATCCAACATCTCCACCTTGACTGAGGATTGGATATTTGAGGATGACCCTTCGAATCATTTAGAAGATGACCTGTCGACCGCGATACGTACCACCAATCGACACCCTTTCCTTCGTTATTCAGGCAACGGACGACAGCTGATGCCGACAGAACGACGAGGAGAAAAACGAAGAGGGTCTGGCCAGCCATCTTGATCGATGCTCCTGTTGTGTTGTGTGTCGGAAGATTATCGGGGCTGCCGGATAATGACAGGCTGAGAGAATGAGAAATAAAATTATCATTGAAATCTATACATCTAATATCCTTTCATCAATTTCTATATTCAACAGAAGTGAACGTGTGTGATGAAGTCTTCCGAACTAGTGAATTGGACGGTGTGATCGTGATGTTGTTACTGGAAGATCGTCTTTATCGTGATCATCTTTCTCAGTTTTTGGGGTGATTCACCGAATGTCGTTCGGAGGTACACCGTCGAAAAGGGCAAAGAATCCTCACCTCCACCATGTGAGTCGTGTATCCGTTGACCTTCCTTTGAAACAAGGCAGGAATGAAGAGCTTGATATGGAACTCGATCCGATCTTGGAGGAGATTCGCATCTTCTTTTTAGAGGATGACAAGGATAGACGAGAACCATATGATCCTGACGAGAACACACTGCAACCAGCCGTGAGAAATGCACAGTATAAGACTTTGATGATGTGAAATCAGGAGATCAATTTCAATGCGTTATACAGTGGTGTAACAATTGCGAAGGACAGGAATATTCTAATGTTCAAGTACACTTCCATCAGAGAAGCCATCGGCAGACGCAGCATCCCGATTCTCAACTATCTCCTCTATGAGATTACAAGTGACGAACGATGATCGTCCCCTTTCATATGTTGAACTTAATCCAGACTCAAGATTGGAAGTCAAACAGATCGTTCGTTGGTGCATCGAGATTGGCAACATAGAACTTCTCATTGCTGCTCTCGATTTCCTCGTCGAAGGCGATTACGATCCAATCGAGGTGCATCACTTCCCCACCATCACAATCTTGACAGTCTGTAGTGTATTCGATTGGCCATCGAGCATGCCAGGGAGGACATGATCAATCTTGTGACCAGCCAATGGGTGCCAGTCGATGTTGTCTCCAATTGGATACTGGTCGGTGACATCTTGTACCTCTCCATGATCTTGTCTCGAGATGATGTTGTCTTTGATTCAGACGCGATCTCTTCTGTTTTGATCGAAGTGTATAAAGAAGGTCGAGTGGATGTGGTGGAGATGATCTTTCAAGAACACAGGTGACACATGAGTCAAAGGGATGGGAGGCTGAAATGAATAGGTATGATATCCTTCAAGCCCAACATCTCTTTCAATGGGCCGTGACTTCCGAGTGCGTAGAGGTGATTCATTGACCGGCGTGACGATGTGTGATTGGTAATCAGATGATGCTTCTCCTCTTGCATCATCCAAACATGATAGCCAAGAACTTCGCACACTCGCTCAAAGATCTCACATTCTATATCACGGTGAGATTCGTGATGGAAAGAGATGAACGTGTCTCTAACATGATGCAGCCCGAGATGGTTGATGTGTTGTGTCAAAACGAAGGTTTCCGTTGCATCCTCTGCGGTTTACCTTTTCTCACTCTCCTCGTCTTACAATACGGTCGCATGAACCACCGACTCGATGTGCTGTCCATCACGATGACACATCGCGAGATTGACACATCGACAGTTGGTCAAGAAGATCGTCGCCAACATGGGCACACCCATACCTCTATCTCTCACACAGAAGACGACGAGAAGTATAACCGAGGTAGATTTCGTTCTGGCGCGTTGTAGTAGAGAGAGTGAAGAGTGGGCAGTACAGAATGGCTTCTTAACATGTGACCACGTGACATCTTACGTCTTTGACATGTACAGTGAGTCAGACTCTACACTTGCAGCGACCAGAAGGAGAATCATTTCGATTTTTCTTCGATTTACCCATCGAACTACAACGAGTCATCATGGATTTGATCGTGGGGCAATCGTCTTGTGGTTGTGAGTTTTCTACCGTTTCTCTACCGTTTTTCAAGCTACTGGAGAGTGATATCTTGTGGGAGAAGAAGACACGAGAAAGGTGGGTTTGAAATTCGAATGTTTAATTTTGGCGGGAAATGAAATATCGTAGGTTTGTCAATTTCGACACACTCAATCTGGCCACTTGCTCGGCTTGGGACGTTCACGCTATGAGATGGAGTCAGCGCAGTCAGGTGTGTTCCCGCCAAAATCCGACGTTCAAAATTTAAAAGATCGGCTTCGAGGGCGTCCGACGTCCTTGCTTCTGGCGGATCTTATACTACACCTTCTGTCACCTCTCTTGTGAACATTCCAACTTGGATTCAGACAAGTGAGCTGCACTTCTCTTGTCATCTCTCACCTTCCACCAGTCCCGTGGCGGGAAGCTTTTTCCTCGAACCAGAGATCAGCCTAAGGGGAGAAGATTACGACAAAGCTCGTCGCTTCGTGACAAGATTACACGAGCACGTTCTCTGTTATTTCCCCTGGCTGAGTTGTCTGAGGGCGTATACGAATCAGATCGGAGGACATTTGGATAGAGGTGAAGAGTGTGAAGAGTCGAGTGTGAGAATGAAATTCGATAGAAGTGCCGTATCCTTGCATCGCGATGGTATGGCGGAGATCAGTCATCATCGAGATGTTTGTGGGGGAGTGGGGTAAGATGAGTCTGATGGTGGAGGGGAGGGAGACCGTCTTTCATGTGGATATGACAGAGGAAATGACGAAGGAATGGGTGAGTCACATCCGTGATGTGATGAATTCGTGATGTGATGCGTGATGTGATGCGTGATGTGATGAACTCGTGATGTGATGTGATGAGATTCAATGGTGACGCGAGAGCAGGAGATGAAATTCACAAAGAAATTAGAATCAGAACTCCA